TGTGTGTGTGTGTGTGTGTGTGTGTGTGTGTGTGTGTGTGTGTAGAAGTGATGTGGTTACGTTGGTGAACCATGAGCAGTTTGATGAAGAGGCAACAACAGGAAAAGATGTTATTAACAGAGACCCCTACATCCTGAAATTAAGCTGCAGCAATACAGGTAGGATATGTTTGTCATGGAAACAAGGTAACGCAAGGATCAACAGGGAGTTAAGCTTGTGTGTAATCAGTGTAACAGCTCACTTTAAAGCTGATACTATGTCTTCTGTGGCCTTCCTGTTGGCTGCACCTTTATGTAACCTGGATGTACAGATGAGTCTCTAGTCCAGGTTTTTTTTTTTTTTTAAAGCTGTGATAACCTAAATCTGTTTACACGTTATGGGGAAGTGTGTATTTGTATGGAGAGAAAATCAGCTGGTTTTAACTTTAGGGTAATTAAGTAATATATAATTATTTCATAAATGTTATAAAAAGGCAATCAATAATTTGAACTAATTTACACTAATGTAAATAATCAGTAAGACTTGAATGTAGTCCTGCCCCCTGTGTACAGTCCCAGATACACTCAAGCACAAATTCACAACCAGGTCCTCAGGTGTCTAGCCGAGAAAGTTGAGTGCAAAAGGAAATCCATCAACGCTCAACCTTTCACGAACCAAGAGGAGCATCAGTTTTCATCAACATTTGTCCGGGAGGGAGACAAGCCGAGGACAAACCCCTCAGCCCCAGACCTGGGCCCGCTGAAGGTTGCCAGGGATTGGCAGATGCAAGTGGACTTGGATCAGAGGCTAATTTTTCCCACAGAGATCGTAACAACTACTCTGCGACCAGACCTCGTCCTTTGGTCTAACTCTCAAAAACATGCGTACGTCATTGAGCTGACGGTACCATGGGAGGAAGCAACTGAGGAAGCATTTGAGCGGAAGAAGCTGCGCTATGCCAACTTGGCAGCTGAGGAAGAGGACAGAGGCTGGAAGATCAAGGTGCGCTCGGTGGAAGTGGGGTGCAGGGGCTTTGTTGCCAGTACAACAGCCAAACTGCTTAGAGAGATTGGGATCAGAGGACAGGCGCAACGGCAGGCTATAAGAGAATTAGCTAACACTGCTGAGAGGACCAGTCACTGGCTATGGCTAAAAAGGGCTGATATCACTTGGGCAGTTAAGGCAGTCAGCTAACTGCGAGAGAAAATAAATATTCTCCTCTTCTCCCCTCTGCTCTTCTTCCCTTTTCTGGGAGGCAGTGGGGAGGTAGAGCGTACAGCCCAATCCGGCGGGGAGGTGTGGAAAGCCAGATTGGGCGCCCCCCTTCCAGCTCTCTTCTCTGCTCTCTCCTATCTTGTCCCTCTTGTCTTACTTCTCTCTATCACCTTTTCTATCCCTTTGAAGAAGTGAGGCTCCATAAATGCTAAAGAGGTAAGTATTATTTCTCAGTTGCAGTGAATAGACAGAAAATAAACTGTAGAAAACTAAACAGAAGAAAGAAGAGAAATAACAATTTAACATAAACCAGTGACTCCAGGGCCTGATCAACCCTGGCAGGGCCTCCTTGGATGAGGGTGTTTAGTGATAATGGCCGGAACACCCGATGAATCCAAGGTCCACAACTGACAATGTGTCCCAAATTTTAATATGATAATCTAGATCAGATCTCTAATCTCTAGACCTAACCAAGGAAGAAAAATGGCAGTTTAGCCTGGGTAAAAGACCGAAAGTTGAGGCACACAACGCTGTGTGCTGCTGGCAAAGTTTCTGGGCTGCCTTTCCTCATAACAGAGATCCCTCAAGAGTCTCTCCATTTAAAGCAATGCATTATCAGGGACTGTAACATCTAGCCCTTTTACTGAGTCATGGATGTAAACTGTGTGTATTTGTGTTCTTGCTGTAGTTGTGGAGGACCTGGTGATGATCCCAGTTCACACCAAACCAAAGGACTCTGTGAAGGAGCTCAATAAACTATACGATGTCGTCATGATTATTAAGACGAAATGGAATACTGATGTAAGGAGAAGTTAGAGAGTGTCTACAGCTTTGTAGCTTGGGTTGGTTGCACAACAGAGAAAGCAGGAATTCATACTTCTGTGAAAATTTGTAGATTTTGACAGAGTTGTGTAGTAAAAGGCGTATGAACCAATCCAACCACTAAACTGGGAAAACAAAACAAATATATATTGAGGAGTTAAAGCAAAACACTCAAATGCAAATATTTCATGTCTGTGCTACAGAACATTATGATCTTGGGTGACTTCAATGCAGGCGGCTTGTTCGTTTCCAAACGTGCCATGAAGAACATTCGCATTCGTAAAGACGAGAACTTTCACTGGCTGATTAGAGATGGCGTGGACACTACAACAAGCACCAACAACATACACACCTATGACAGGTAATGCATAGCAGCTGCTGGCTGCAGCTTTATTTTGAATCGACAGACGTGAGACTGGTATCGATCTGTTCGTCAGCAAGAAAATAAACACATCACGCAGTTTCTTCAAATTATCTGAAATAAAGAGGAGTAGATTCTTTTGTTTTGCCACATTAAAATGGAGTGGTACTAAATGTTCTTGCTTTTTTCTAATTATGTATTTAAATTTGGTATTATGGGTTTTTAAAATAAGCCTTTTTCCCTATCTGTGTTAAGGATCGTGGTCTATGGAGATGACATGCTTAATGCCGTGGAACCAGAAACTGCAAAAGCCTTCAACTTCACGAAGGAGTTTAATCTCAATGGTGAGCAGGTCTGTTTTGATTAATGCTTTTCACCAAATGAATTACTCTTATATTCTCTGCCTTATTTGCAATATCACACGTAGAATATGATTAGTCAGAAGGGTTTTAGACACTAAATTATAAGGCAGATAATTGTGTTTTTGTCACATCACTCAGTCTGTTTAAAGATCACTGAAATAGCTAGACATGAAAAACAGAACTCGGTGTGTAAAAGCTGGCATGGTTGCTTAAAGGTGGTACCAAAGTACAGTTGCGGTATGGTATTATGGCTTTAATTAAAATTCCTAAGAGGCCGTCAATCAATGGCCACAAAAATGTTGAAAATCAACAGCTTTCAACTTGTCTTTATAGGGGGAGAAAAAAAGAGAGGGTTCAGTGACGTGGGACCTTTATTCTTACAAACAAAACTTTAAGGTAAATTATTAACAGTGTCACAGTCACTCTTTTCAAGTGTCCTTGGTAACTCTATGACCTGGGTTTGACAAAGACTCTACCCTTGGCCTGTCAGCTCATTGTCTTTGAAAATGTAAACCACTGCAGTATGGAAAGTATCCATATTGTCATTATGACAGTATGGATACTTTCCATACTGTCTGTCATGTTTGCAGCTGTGTGCAGGCAGGATGAGGACCCAAACGCAAGCTCACGAAGGCAGGAATGAACTCAAAAATACAGCTTTATTGCTGGAGAGAAAAGAGAGACAGCACGGGGAGAGCACGGACATAACGGGCTGGGGAAAACATGGAATAAAACACAAGGAGGGGAAACGAGGGCTCACAGATACACCGAGGGGCACACGGGGGGTAATCAAATAAGGAACATCTTAACAGAACAACCAAACCACAGCATAAATACAGAACAAAACCCAAAACACACGAAAACTAAGAATGCTGGGCCAACATGGCCCAGGATCATGACACTGTCATTAGGTTTTGCCTCTTCAGGCTGAACCTGCACACTAGGTGCACAGCATCAAGCTCTCACCCCAGACCTAACCTTGTCCCAGGAGGGTAAACTGGTCCCTTGAGTGTGTCCTCATAGGGTTTTGTGAAACACTCTCTTGGCCCCTCACCCAACACCATTTTGCTTTTGTAAGACCCTAGCAAGAGCAGAAACCCCAGACAACATACCCCATGCACAAACCGCTGATTCATGGGGACATTCAGCTAGACCTCGATATTTGTTCAAAAACTATTAATCAGTACATTTTGTTTCTTTTGCAGGCTCTGAAAGTGAGTGACCATTATCCAGTGGAGGTTGAGTTGAAGTCCATAGTTGAGACAGATGAAACAAACGGTAAGCAGGATAATTATACATATCCAAGGCTTATGTACCATAATACTACAAGACCTGTTAAAATTGTGAAGTCAGTTTTTCATTCTTATTAAGAAATGTTTTGTTTTTTTTTAATTTTTCCCAAAAATGTAAAAAATAAAACTTACACACGTTTTAGACATTTGTTAGAAAGATATGCTAAGTTGAATATATGCAGATTGTGTTCAGAGAGTGAGTTCAAAATCAACTGGATTCAGAATTTGTGTTTTTTCCTGACATGTTCAAAGTGTGATATGAACTTTCTGCTCAAAGAAAATATTTTATACATGCAAACATGTTTAAAATTAATTAATTAGAACAAATTAATTGCAGCCAAAAAGCCGAAAGGAAAAACCCCCGCCTATGCATTCTTTGTTGTGGACTTCTATAAGGAGCACAAGAAGAAGCACCCAGGAGCCAAAGTAATATTAACAGAGGTTTCCAAAATGTGCTCAGATAAATGGAAGTCCATGTCACCTGAGGAGAAGGCAAAGTTCGAAGAGATGGCCAAGAATGACAAGCTCCGGTATAACCAGGAGATGAAGTCCTATGTACCACCTGCAGGTGCCGAGAAGGGCAAGAAGAAGAAGAAGGACCCCAACGCGCCCAAAAAGCCACCTTCTGCTTTCTTGATCTTCACCTCTGAACACCGTGAAAAGATCAAGGAGGATAACCCGGGGATCTCCATCACTGACATCTCCAAGACGTGTGGTGAGATGTGGAAAAAGATGAGTACCACAGAAAAGGCCCCCTATGAGGCCAAGTACGCCAAACTGAAGGAGAAATATGAGATGGAAGTTGCTGCCTACAGAGCCAAAGGCGCCAAGAAGGCGGAACCAGCTGACAACGATGATGAGGATGAAGACGATGAGGATGAAGATGATGATGATGAGGATGAAAATGATGTTGACGGGGATGATGACTAAGTCGTTTCTGTGTTTGAGGATGTGAAGTTTGTGATGCGTTTGTTTATGTTTGTTTTTGTTTTGGGTTGGACGAGTTCAGCAGTATAACCTGCTGCCCCTGTCGGTTGACCTCATTTGAGCTGTACTCTTTTTCTAATTTAGGGTGTTAGATTTATATTGTTTATTGTCATTTATCCTTAGAAATATTTAACCATATATGCTTAGAGGTGTATAATCGATTGTGTAGTGATAGGATGTGTGATCTTT